GGCCGCGTTCCCGCGCGCGCCGCGCCTCTTGGGCCGCGCGCTCGCGGCCGCGTGCCGGCGCCGCGTCCAGGCCTTCGCCGTGCCGCCGGCCGTGGCGCGCGTCCTCGCGGCGCTCCTCGCGCCGGACGTCGCCGCGCGGCCCCGCGACGCGGCCGCCGCGGCCGCGGCGCTCGGCGGGCCGCGGCGCCGCGCGCGCGGCGCGCGGCACAGCGACGCGTCCGTGCGCAACACGCTCCGGAGCCTCGCCCTCGCCTTCGACGAGGCGGGCAACGCGTCCGAGGACGCCCTCGCGACGCTCCGGGAGTGGGTCGGCGTCGCGTCGCGGCGCCAGCGGCCCGAGGCCGTCGCCGCGTTCCTCGCGGCCGCCAGGGCAGCACAAGAGAGCGAAATTCCCAACTTCAAAGGCTCCTCTCTCGGCCGTTTTCCACTCGTTTCGGCTGAATTTTGGACGAGCGATCATCTCTCGGGACGGTCTCGCAGCGTGGATGCTTTTGTTGGGACGCGCGCGCGCGGAACACTCACGTTGAAGCGACGTTGAATCACCCTTGTGCTGCCCAGGCGGCCGCGGCGCGCGCGCCGGGCGTCGAGTCGCTCGAGTTCTCGTCGCCGGAGAAGGGCTACTGGGCCCGGGCCCTGCGCCGCCACGACGCGGACCGCATCCTCGCCGTCGCGCTCCGCGACGCGGGCCGGCGCGCGCGCGTCGTCAAGGTGAGCTTCCGCGGCCACGCGCTCCGCGGCGCGCGAATCGACCGCCGCTTCGGGACGTCCCGACGAAACTTTGAAATGCCCGAGCTCGGTCACATCGACGTCGATTCGGCCGAGTTTTGGACGGATCGATGGCGCTCGTCGGGTTCTCGAAGCACAGCGAACGTGCCGGGGTCGACACGTTCGACGACGCCCACGGTTGAAGATTCGAGCCGCGCGCAGGCGCTCGGCGGCGCGCTCCCGGCGGCGCTCGCGGACTGCCCGAACCTCGACGCCCTGGACCTGCACGGCTGCGGCTTCCGGGGCGACGTGCCCGAGGCCTACGACGCGCTCCTCGCGCGCTGCGCGTACGCGGACCTCGCCGGGAACGCGCGGCTCGACGCGGGGCGGCACAAGGGTGATTCAACGTCGCTTCAACGTGAGTGTTCCTCGCGCGCGCGTTTCGGAAGCAGCACC